AAGGTTTTGCATAGTATGGTTTGTACTCACTGCACTTCATAAACTTGAATATTCATCTACTGAAATTAAAGATTACATTAACAATCTAAACATTTTTAATTGATCTCCATTTATTTCAAAGGTATAGGGATAGGATAATAAATAAAACTGACATTCTCTTTACATATCCATCATAATTATTATTTGACTTAAATGAATAATTTGTGTATCTTATTTAGACCCTATAGGACCTATAATATTTTGGACTACTACAATAAATTACAAATATGCAAGGAAACCTATAAAAGAAAAAACTGTGGCTTGAAGATACAGTAGAAAAGTACTCAGTTAACAGTTGGATTGTTGTTTCTGGTCCTCCTCCCATCACTATAGGAAAAGTATCATGCAAAATTTCACCATGGGACTTAAATCAGACCAACTACTATAGGAGCTGTCACAACATTCTATAGTGTATATGACCCTGGGACGTAAAATACAGCAGCACATACTTCATGTTGAACTCTGATGTCCTACTCACAGATCTAAAATGGCTCCATCTGTTAATTTTCATAACATGACCTTAAAGTCAACACTCAACACTGCATCAATGATATGTGTTTTGAATAATTTCAAAAGGTAAAACTTATAAAATTCTGATTATTTTAAAAATAGAAGCAAATTGAAATTTATTCCAACTTCCTTTTCAATAAGGAATATTGAAAGTCAGTAATATTACTCTGGATTTACTTTGCTATATCTATACCAATGTGAGCATCAATTAATTTCATTTATAGGCTCTTAAAAACAGATTATTTATCCATGATGATAGGTGTTCACAATTTTAGGATTTTTATAAACTCTTCTTCCTGCCAGTTTTCACTATGTTATTCAAGTGTCAAGTAGACAAAAAGGAAAATAGAGAATGAGTGATTATTCCCTTAGAAAAGAAGAGAGAAGAACTCTCTATCCCTTTATCCCTTTTTCTATACATAGGCAATGACCACATAGAAATGTGGAATATAAATAAAGTTAAAGGATATGGAAAGGTGTGGTATTACATAGTCAATCTTTCAAATTCAGCTTTCTCACTAGACTTTATTAGATGGATACTCCCATTTTTAAAGTTCTAATTAATTACAGGGCCACTAATAAACAAACAAAAGAACGGTTCATCTCATTTAAAGTCCCAAAATTGAACTAATTTTCTATATATTTGATGAGGAGTAAGAAGATATTTTTGTCCAAGTCCTATTTCTCCATCAAGAAAACATAGAGCAATCCTCAGGCTTAAATTTTTCTCAAATAAAATTAACATAATAAATACATCTTTTAAACTGAAAAAATAATTAATACCTGTCAGCAGAGAAGCTTGAAAAGATTATTTCACTGGGGCAGGAAAACAGAAACAGAAAGAACAAGGCCAATTATACTGTTAAAAGAATGTACGCCACTTCTAAGGGCTAAAAACTTAAGGATGAATCCCTAAGGTCACATGAACAAAGTTTACTAGTTACTAGAATATTATTTTAAATCTTTTTACTGTTTACGAGATTTTAAATAAATGTAATTCTACCTCCAATTTTCTTTTCATTAAAATGGTAAGGCACTGCTAAAATATCCAGAACTTTTCCCGGATAAATTCATAAGGACCTTTGTGAAATCTATACCGTAGAATTAAGTGTCACAGACCAACCACAGGAAACTCAGTAAATTTCTTGCAAACAAGCAGTTAGCATTTTCTCCTTTAGAAAGGCTGCATGCTTAGCATAGTTGGAATCAAGAAGTCAATGAAATTACCAAACCCTTCCTTTCTCAGGCATACACAATACATAACAATAGACTATGTTCTTTCCAGCTTCCAGTAATAAAAGCAGACTTTGCTTGATTTTGACCAAGGGTGAGAGAGCAGTGGATGCAAGACAAAGACAAATTGTCTCTGATACCAGCAGTGACTATTTTAACGGTCACTGTTTCAATTTATTTACTTACTCCAAAAAGATAAGAATACTATATTTTGATGAAAACAGTAATTAAATTCTTTGACATTCACATATTTCTTAGTCCTAGCATACACAACCTGGATTTCTACTTAATTGGAATCAATGCTACTAGGCAGGTAGAAATTTCAAGAGCAAAATTTTTTAGCTTCTTTTTTTGTAAGCTCAATACTAAAAATCTGAAACAGTCATTTTCTAAGAAATAGAGAATAATGCTTTATAGAGATAAAATCTTGATAAACCTAAGAATTAGAAGAGACTCAAGTCATTGGCTGAATAAATTAAACCAAAAGCTGAACAATTAAGGCAATTATCTACTACAGTCTAATATAAGCTCATTATAAGCAAAATGCTTAACATAAATTAAGGTAAATGTTCCTTTGATGATCCAAATGCAGAGCAGTCATAAGGGTTTAAACATACTATTAACAGTCATTAACTTTTTCAAGTTTTTTTTTTTAAGTACATCTGATATACTAGAAAAATAGAACAAAAAGTTTCATCTAAGTTTGAAATTTTAAAAAAAGCCTTCAGTATGCAAAACATAAAACAGACTTGCTTATACATCTTTCAGAAACATAGACATTTTCCCAATATTATCTAGAAGAAATACATATAATTATGCTTACTATAACAATTCTTCTGTCCTGAATTAATTCATAACACTTTATAATAAGGATATAGCACACGGATATGTAAGCTAATAAGTAAATATAATGATTGTAAAACCAACTTTGTTCACTGTTTCACAAAATGTATACATAATAAAATGAAATAAAAGAACCAAAGAACATTTTTCTTCATTCTCAGACTATAAATTGTTTCACTAACCTTTATGACAAATCATGAATGTTTCTTATAATAGTAGTTCAACCTATATGATTTTGGAATAGAACAACAAATTCGTATTGCTTCAAGTTATATAAGTTTATTATTATTAAAAGAAATTTGACAAAGATGCTTTTAAAATGCTAAATATATATAAAATATTGACTGGCTATTACTATTCCTTTTTTTTCTTTCTTTTTTTTTTCACTCAATTACATTATATTACAGCCCAGAAAATTTACAGAGAACATTAATAACAGCATTTTGCTAACAAATAAACAGATAATTTAAAATGAAACTAGTGAACATTAAAAAAAACTGTCTAATTTTAAATCTTAAAGACAAACTGTTATTACAAAGCTATAAAACACATAAAGCAAATGCTATAATATATGGTATGCCCTACTTTGGCTATAAAATACATTTTTCCATGCTTAAATAATGCATAAATTTTTGTTTTTGAAAATACACAGAAAAACATTTAAAAAGGAAAACGTACTTTTAACTCCATATGGGCATTATGGTAGTAGTCATACAAAACATGTTAATGAAACATTCCATAAAATGACAAAGAACATATGAATTTGAACATTTCAGATCTGACTAATCATCATCATCATCATTATCATCATCACTACTTCTACTGTGAGTCATAATCCACTCCCTGTAGACCTGAATTTTCTGTAAGCATGGTAAAGAAAAAAAGAAGCACAAATGTTAGTTAAGTATGGCAAATTGCTTGGAAAACATGTAAAATTATGAAATGTTCAAGAAGTCAATAATTTTGAAGAAGACTTCAGCTCTAAGTGGGGCAGTAATTATGGATATAATTTCTTAACCTAATAAGACTTAACTAAACTCCACTGGTTGGTACACTTAATGTATAGAATTGCTTGATGATACCAGTAAATTATTTTGTGACTATGTTCGAATTATTCTATTTCTCTAGTAGGCAGCTTTAATGGACTACTAGGAAGCACTATAATTATGTGCCACTTTCTAGATAGAAAGGTACACAATAAAAGAGTGTATCTCATATTTAATTATCATATATAGGCATATATAATTTAGTGAACACAGAGCACCCTTTTTAGAAAATTAGAAACCAAAAGGACGAACATTTGAAAGTATTAAATATTTTCTAAGGGCATTATTATTAAATCAGATTAAATCTAGGCAGATGAGATTTGAAATACTGTTTATATGTCATCTACTTCTTTGCCACAGCACTGGTATTTGTATATTTCAAAGTGTTTGCTAATAGTAAAGTTTTGATTCAAAAAAAGCACCATTACCACTAAAGCAACAACCCAATTCTTACACCTGTAAGAGAGTAATGCCAAACACAAACATCCTAAGGCATCTGGTGAATTCCTATAGGTATTCCGACTAATACTGTATTTAATACTCCTGC